GTAAAAACTGTCGTCTGGCCTCACACATTGTCTGCAACTAATAGCTAACATATGTGTTGATAATTTGTGTTTACTAATTCGATCTCTCACACTTCATGTTGTTTAATCTATATGATCATACAAATTCTGATTCAACGGGACACCAGAGGTGGGATATACAAATGAAGTAATAAAGTTATGATGAAATAAGAGAGGAAAAAGGCGTATTAATATTTAGTAACTGAACAAGAATAATGTTCCGTGAGCGTCCCATTTCAGCTAAAAAGACAAGACAATTTTTAACCTTTTACAACCAGACTAACATCACAATGGGGTCAAATATGGTGTAGTTTGTTGTAAGCTGCTCTAGTTCGTACTCAAAGTAGATTATAAATAAATAATATATTTGTAATATTCCAATGAGTAGAAAAATTAGATTTTCTGACGTTTCGTGAGTTAGTGCAAACCACTTCTTCAGAAAATAAGTAAATTACCAAATCAAAATTAATTTAAGCTTAAATAGTAAAAAATCTAATTTTTCTACTCATGGGGATATTACAAATACATTATTTATTTATAACAATTTACTCAATGCTCAATTTATTCGAAATTATCAAGTCAAACCGTGGTAATGATACCTATAAAAGGAGATTAGTCTTTTGGGACTATTTGTACACGAGTAGTAAATGAAAAGGTAATAAAAGTTGCGTCAGTCTTCACGAAACTTGATAGCCTTTTAGGAAGTCCTGAAAAGAATACTCTAATCAATAATAAATTTTTAAAACACACAAAGTAATATTTAACAACAGAAACCATCCTCTTGTTGCAGATATGTTCTCGAATCTCGTGAGCCAATACTGAAATCCGAATAACTCTAGTTATCGGATAGTTAATCATTCTAAAAAATGCGAAATATCAAGTACAGATTAACATCAATCATTGTCTCACTACCTCACCCATCGTCAATTTTTATTACTTGTATTCTGTGAACTTGTTTTTCTCGAGCAGTTTATTATCAGGATCACATTCCTTGATATTATATTTTACTGATATTTCATTCTTTAAATTAATTATACATCTATCGAGCTCTTAGTACCTTAGTGATAGATGCTACACATTAATAACATGAAAGATAAAGTGCTGTTTCCACTTCCCGTTATTTTTTAACGTGTTAAAGTTGCTTATTTTCAAAACATTGTTTATCTTACAGTTATATAACTCTTCTTTATAATTTAGGATCGAGTCCAAATAGAACTCAAGATCCATCTGATAATATCAGCAGAAATATTTTACTAGTCAATTACGAACCATCTAACTCGATTCAGTCTACTGAAAGTAATAACCCTGTCTGTGCCAGGCATGATCTAGCGAATGGAAGATCCGTGGGAGGTAGACTGTTTACACGTATTCAATCCCTAGTGAGGAATGAACACTTAACTGCACGAATCACTGGAATGCTTCTTGAATTACCGTCATCAGAACACTCAGTTTTATTAACAAATGAAGAAGCTTTATGTAATCGTGTTGATGAAGCAAGGGCCTTAATAACAATGTCGGATACAAATGATCAGAAGTAAGTTGTTTGTGTTTTCTACTTAAAGATGTTGCATTTTCAGTTAGTCAAATGTGTTTCCACTTGCTCCAAATTCAAATTTCGACATTAACGAAATTTTCTGCGGATTTACCGCCCATCTTGATTTGTGGATATTATTTTGTTTTCGGTAACTAAATAAACTAAAGAAATAAACATTTATGTTAGGACTCAATGACTAGTTTGAATTTTTCCCATTTTCAGCCGAGTTGAGCGCCCACGGACACCTTCAATTGGTTTAAATCAGCCTGTTCTTGAACGCTTAGTTAATTGGCAGGGAGTGGCTTTAACTGTTACAGGTGCTACGTCTGTCAACCAACAATCCAACATCTCTTCATCAAGTACAATCGCCGAGTTAATAATTACAGAGGATGTTGAGCGTGTCCCTCTTTTCTGGCAACCTGGTTTACAGGGTTATTACTTCCCACGAGCTGTTCCTGGAATAAACTTACCTTCAAATCAAACATGTGATTCAGTTAAATTAGCTGCACGCTACTCTATTTACAGGTGGGTTATTCTCTTATTATTTTTTCGCTCTTTATCTCACACATACGTATTATCTGATTCTCAATTTTTTCTTTATTGTAGAGGTATCGGCCGTGTAATTGGTTTGTGTTTACTGACAAATGAAACATGTCCCTTGCACTTCAGTCGACCTGTACTTAAATACATCCTAGGTCGCGTGGTTCACTGGCATGATTTTGCCTTTTATGACCCCACTACTTTTGAGGGGTTGCGCCAGCTGCTTTTGCATACATCCGAAGACTTTTCAAAGGTGATTTCGATTCGTGTTCACTATTGCATCTCACTAAATAGATATTTTAATTTGATAACTTTAATCATTAAAATTACTAGCCCATTTGTCAAACCAGTTATATCTTTTCTGTGGTCTATGTATCTCAGCGTTGAATAACTTTGTATTTGCATACTTCTCCTTCAAATTTCAGTCTCAGGGAAGCATAGAAGATTACAACCTAACTTTCTCCCTTATTCCTGCCTTGGAAGAAGGTGGTCTGTCATCCACAGACGCGGTTCGTCAACCAAATGACTATTTGTATGCTTTGATCCCCGGTGGAGATGAAGTTGAGGTTAATGAAAGTAATGTATTTGAATTTGTTAAAAAGTACACAGAATTCAAAATGAAAACAGCAGTTCAGGAACCACTGGAGGTGAGATTTTTACCAGTGTTTTTACATTTTGTCCCAAATGTTTAATGAAGCTGCAAAAAATAGATTCATCATAGTTTTCTGTAAAGTTAATTAGGCTGTCCCATGATGTATTAATAATAAACAATGGTTGTGGTTTATAATGGTATCCTAGATCACATACCGCCTTAACTTTTAATAAGATTGGGTGTCATTTGTATTAACACAAAACTGCAAACAAATACCCATATTTTAACCTTAGATCGCTTAAAACGATCGAAGTATACTTGTATTCCTGGATGAGCCATTGGATGAACATCTCACGGACACCGACGTGCAGGTCGTTTAGCTTGTTCAAATTTACATTTTGGGTTATATTAAGCCGTCTCGATTTGGAGGTTACCCAACACTTAAGAATTTCGTAATCTGAATCTGTACCTAGTTGCATTCGAGCCGGGTACCCGTTAATATCCACGATAGGAAAGGTTTTTCGTTTGAAGTCTGAATTTGTTATGTGGCTAAGAGGTTTGACGAACTACCGGTACGTTTAAAGGTAAACCTGTTTTTACCTATAGAGGGGATCGGGATCTACTGGGTTTATGATTGTGGCAATAACCGTATCGGTTGCCGACAAATATTTGTAGGAGCAGATCCTGAAGTTATGTGCTCCATAAAGCCAGCATAATAGCGGGTATGATGTGCCAAGAATCAGAGTTAAGTGGTGTGACATGGTCTGGTGTCCGATAATTTTTGTGGGTGCCGAAACTAGAGATCGCAACCTCGGGAATGTATTAGGTGATGTGGTTGATATTATTTTAGGACGCCGGGATCCCCAATAGTTACGTCAGCTGTGTTTGAAATTATTGTTGGTAGTGACTAGGTAATTGTACGAGTGATATTGCACATGAAAAAAACCAAATTGCTGAGCACGGTGCTCGTGCCAAATATGTGATAGAAAATTTTGAAATCCATAACTTGTTTCCAAATATTTGTTTCACCTCGCATTAAATAAATTTGGTTATTCATTTCTGACTTTGTGCAGCAACTCCGACAAGGTGTGTTTGATGTTCTACCTCGAAATGCTTTGGATGGGCTGACTGCTGAAGATTTGCGTTTACTTTTAAACGGAACTGGAGATATAGATGTTGATGTACTATGTGGATATACAACTTTCGTAGATGAAACAGGTACAGGATCAAATGTAGATGTCACGAAAAGCTGTGATAACACAAATTTGGTAAATCGCTTGAAAAAGTGGTTTTGGTGTACAGTTCGCAGTATGGATATGAAACAACGTCAAGATTTAGTAAGAACAGATTTTGTGAACTATCTTTCTAATTATTTATTTGTCTGAGCACATAGATATTAGTACAAATGGACACCGAATACATATGCACCAGACAAGTCACTTGATTTGTGTGTGGGCTGTGTTACTGCTCGGGTGCCCAGACCGAAGCGAAGCAGGTGGTTTTCTTAGGGGGTCACACACGAAGCCTTCGGCCTAAAGGTCTGATCCACAAGGCAGTGAAGCAACGTCAGGTAATGCAGTCCCATGTTAGCCGTTGACCAATAATTGGTTCATACTCCATTTATTTCCCCAGAACTCTGGAGTCCATATGCACCATTGGTTTGGAATCAGGGTTTTCCAACTCCTCTAGGTGAGAGAATTTGAAGAGGAGGAGCGGACTCTCCTCACCTTCGGCCGTACCAGGGCCTTTGGTTTTTATGCTAGTCACTGTATCCTACTACTTATCCGTCATAACATTATTACCATGTTTAATTTATTCAAAACTACACGAATATCAGAAAGCATGAGCGATAGGCCAAACTTTCGTTGTTACACAGAAGATAAGACGTGCGGGTAGGGCAAATAACCTGAAAGTCAGTGTTACTGTCCTATTACTGACCTTTGTGAGCAATCTTGAGCTGAACAATTAGAACACTGATATTTGTACTTCTATCTCATTATATATTAATGATCTTCATTTTTTGTGATCTGTTTATAGCTGTACTTCTGGACATCAAGTCCAACCCTTCCTGCCAGTGCTCAAGGATTTCAACCTATGCCTTCAATCACAATCAAACCACCCGACGACCATCATCTTCCATCTGCTAACACTTGTATTTCACGTCTTTACTTACCACTATATTCATCAAGGCACATATTGCGTGACAAACTGTTACAGGCGATTGGAACAAAAAGTTTTGGCTTTGTATAATTTCCTGTATATCTCAATCAAATAAGTCTTCCCTATTATTGTAAATGAGAAAACATTTGAATTTTTGAAGTATAATAAATCAATCAGATTTTCAAATGTTTGTTTTATTGTGCCATTTTGAATGCTTTGTCAACATGTACAGCTATTTTGGGAGTTCACTGTCGTTAAGACTAGAACTGATATTCTGAAATTCTTGTTCGAGTTGGTTGAGTTTTTGTGCCAGCTCTTCTGCAGTTCGCAGTCGACCTTCTTTGTGTGCAGTCATCAGTTGTCCAGAAACGTGATCCATCTTATTCGCTATATCACTTAAGTACTCTATTGTAGTTTTCTTTCCTTGGTGTTTCTCATAAGTGTTGGGCATCGATGTAGGTAGTTGGGAAAACCTTTGCCATATTTTGGCAGTAGGATTAATGGCTGGATCCATGTTTGCAAAGTTTTGTTTACCTGATACTCGCTCCATCAGCTGAAAAAAGTAAAAATAAATAATAGATGGAGGGGGTAAACGGCTGATAATCAAGTAAAAGCTTTAAGAAATTCCAAGCGTTGTATTAGAGATAAATTCATGTAGTGAATTATCTGGCTTTTTGGAGGATTGTGCAAAAGAAAGAGATTGCAGAATTACGATCAAAATGTTTGAACCCAATGAAAATAATCGTCTGATACAAAAGAGGAGGTTTAGAAGTTAATTGTTTAATGAAACTACACAGTAGTTAGCAGAAGCTTACAGTTCATGAAGTTTTCGGTCTACACAGCTATGTTTCAAGCTTATCGAAATCAGTTACATCTTTAATGTGATAAAGTACAACTTACTTCTGCAAGAGCTTTGTCTTCCTCAGACCATCTAACTGCCAATTCAGCCTTGCGTTGTGAAGTAAGGTTATCATATTGTCTGAGTGTAGGAAGAGTTTGCAAAGGTGGGAGATAATTTTGGACAAAATGTCTCGCCCTTCGATAAACTGCTGATGTCAAGCGCGCCACTATTCTGTTGACATAAAGTTCTGAATTCGGTTCACTGTATTTTGCAAACTGTCGTCTGAAATCAGATAGTGTCTCAGCTTTATTACAGACAAGAAAAATATTTCGACTCTTTACTAGACAATTTAACAAAAAATTATCGTTTCAAAATCCTTACTATAAAGTATGGTTTAGGGACTTAATCGTATTAGTGGATCCCTCAAAGCGTGTGATGTGTCAGTGAAAGTAAGATATGATTGGCTAATGCATGAAGAGACTTCCAACTATAGCAAGTGTATAGCAACTGTATGATTTCGTAAATTCTTTCCACTGTCGATATCACTGTATTGACTTCCAAATTTGTTCTGGCCGGAAATCTGGTTCTCAATTGTTGGTCGGAATTCACGTGATCCCATTGTCTAGTGTTAAGTCTTATTGATTATACTCATCGTATTATCTAGTGTCCCAGCAGTATAATCCCTAGTACAAACCATTAATTTTCTCTTTTTTATCAGTACGTGTAGAGTAAAACGTTTCTCTTAATTAGTCAGCTTCGTAATCATAAATAAACTTTATTTTAGTCGACAGCAACTTGTATTTTTCCTCAATCAAAACATCTAACAGCAATAAAATAACATTGTGTTGCCTGCGCATGACCACTGTCTACTTCGACGTGCAGTTTCGGCTGGATTGCGAGAAAGCGAGGAACGGCCAGATCGAAACTTAGCATACGTCCATGAAGTCATTGACTGTTAGACTCAGTAGGCGTACGCTACCTACTGCGAATTTATTTTTCCTTCTCGAATCTTATTGTCTATGACTAGCCTTCTCTATTACCGTTAATATTGTTACTACTACCACTGCAGTGTTTGTGTTGGCAATTTGATTTTGCTCTGTTGATGTGGTGCAGGGACTTGAACCGATGTACGTATATATCAGATTCTACCTCTCTTGTGACCACATGTAAAGTTAACATAATAATCTACATTGCTAATATTCATTTGCTGAAAGTGATCAGACTTAAAATTCATTAAAAGATAGAAGCAACGGCCATAAATATTGAAAGTTCGGAGATGTGAGTTCAAAAGTAGATAATTCACACTAATATCAATAATTTCGATCATAAGATAACTACTCAACTAATGTATGTATCCATCCATATATATATATCAAGAATGGAAAATAAATTTTAATAGACACCGAACGTAAATACTGTAACATTATTACGCTTACCCGAGTGTCTCAATTTTTTGTAATGCTTGCAACAAATCGGAGTGCATAGATCTAGCAGATTCTAGCGTATATTTTTGTTCCCCGGAGCTAGTTAATGATAAAAATGTTGAAAAGAATTTTCAACATAATATTCATCCCAATGTGTGTGGGTGCAAATGACAAATCATTTTGAGAATTCTCATGAGGAATTCACTATTAATATTGAAAACTGAGCCTCTTGTGGTAATTAAATCCATACAAATAATTAGTAAAAAGGAGTAAGCGATTTAGATACAATACTAATTTGATATGCTAGTGAACAGACTTCGCAATTCGTGACTACAAAGAAGAACAAAGAGATACTTACGCCTGTTACCCCTAGTCCAGAAGTAGAGACCATCACACCAACATTCTCAATCCAACTCGGTCCTGGCAATTCATTTCCATTTGCTATTCAGCTTTTCGATTTCTGCCCTCCTATTCTCCGTTCCCCTTCACGATTCCAAATTGGTGATTGCCTCGTGATGCAGTCCAGTGATTTCCGTAATGTGTGTCCTATCCATTTCCGACGTCTTTTCTTAATTTCCTCTTCAAGTAGAAGCTGGTGTGTTCTCTGCCACAGTAGGTTGTTGCAGATGGTATCCGGTCAAAGGACATTGAGTATCTTGTGTAGACAATTGTTTATAAGTAATTTTACTTTATTGATGACGGTTTTAGTAGTTCTCCAAGTTTCAGTTATATATAGTTGAACTGTATTGACGTTCATATTGAAGATTCTGACTTTGACATTGGTTGACAGTTGTTTTGAGTTTCATATGTTCTTCAATTGTAGGGATGCTGCACTTGCTTTGCCAATTCTCGACTTTACGTCTGCATCAGATACCCCACGTTCATCGATGACGCTTCCCATGTACGTGAAAGGTTCCACCTCTTCCAGTCTTCTCCATCAAGTATGACTAGTTTGGTGTTCTCCGTGCAGTATTTGAGAATCTTGCTTTTTCCTTCGTGTATGTTGAGGCCTACACTAGTTGACTTTATCTGCATTTGTTCGTGTATATGAGATAGAAGGGTCAGGTCAACTGTCAAGTTCAAATCTTCTAATTGATTCCGAGCTGTCCATTGTATTCTGTCAGATGTGGAGGTGGTCTTCATAGTCCAGCCAATTTTAAGAAAAATTTGGACTCCAGTTAACTAATTATTATTGTTGGGGACGATAGATCCCCAAACTCATATTTTTAAGTTTTATCTTATCGATTAAATGTTAGATATTTTTTATTGGGGTCAATTGATGAACTATCGATTAAATGCGCAAATAGGTCAATTAATGAACTCGTTGATTAATGTTTAAAAATTTCCTATGATAATATCGATTGTAAATAATTGTATAAATACGCTTGATTTGTGCATTTGATTTGACTTGTTATCTACTGTTTGTCTGTAGAATACACTTTCTACACCTTACCCAGACTTCTTGATCAAGTTAGCAGAGTTGGGGACAACGAACCAGAATAGCTATCGAGTCGCTGAATCATTGATCCTTCGTTCCGTTCGAGTAAGACGCATCAGTAATAGCATTCAAGCAATAACGAAACATAAAAAATTGGCGACGGTGGTTTTGCGATTATGGACCCTGCCAAACTTGAACTGTTACTTGAGCAGCTGCTAAAATTGATGCAAATATTAATGGAGACCAAGGTTACGCCTCCCTTACAGCCAAGCACGCCTAGTTCAACCACGGCACCATCAGTAGATGGCATCGCAAATAGCATAGCTGAATTTCATTAAGATCCTGATTCTAATGTTACTTTTGAGATGTGGTTCAGGCGTTATGAAGATCTATTTAAATTTGATTTCGCCAATCAAGATGATGCTTGGAAACTGCGGCTGCTACTTCGTAAACTGGGTGCAAATGAGCTGGACAAGTATTGCAATCTGATCTTGCCGTTGAACCCACGTGACCGATCATTTGCAGACACAGTTGAAACATTAATCCAACATTTTGGCGATAACTCGTCAGTTTAATACTCGTTATCGTTGCTTGAAGCTAACTATGAACGAAGATGATGATTTTCTTACGCATGTGGGCGTCGTCAACCGTGAATGCGAACGCTTCCGGTTAAAGTCCTTGACTGAAGATCAGTTTAAAGCCCTGATCCTTATTTGCAGCCTACAACACCAAAAGTTCAGTGACTTACGAACAAGGCTACTAAGTCGTTTGGATCAAGAGCCGAAACTCACCCTGAGTGATATAGCTAATGAATAGCAACGTCTCATTAATCTTCAACGAGACACTTCTATGGTCCATAGCTGTGGGTCTAGCCGATTTGAAGTACGAGCGGTGCAACAGACACCTCACAAAAACAAACACGTCCCCGCTTCATCCAGTCCATCTCACTCCAACTCTAGATGACAGACTAAAGCAACTCCTCCTGCTCCTTGCTGGCAATGTGGTGTATGGCACTACGTTCGAAACTGCCCATTTAATCAACATCGATGCAAGTGTAAGGTTATTGGTCATAAGGATGGTTTTTGTCTGACGAAGAAGACTTCAAGTCAATCCAGAAATACCAAAAAGACCCTTCCTAGATCCCGCACCAATTGATTGAGCTTAGTGTCTTCGTGTCAAAGCTCATCACCAAGTCAGGGAAAATTTATTACTATTAACATTAATGGGCATTCATCTAAATTGCAAATAGATACAGCATCAGATGTCACTATCCTCTCTCGTAAGACTTGGATCAAAATGGGCAGCCCAAACTTGCAGCGTACAACGCAAAAGCGTCGTACTGCGTGTAGTAATTACCTTCACCTGCTAGGAAAAATGGAATGTACAGTTACTTTCCGTGATTTGACATTTGTTGGGGTATGCTACATAACGCCAGCTGATCTAAATTTGCTCGGGTTAGATTGGTTCGATCACTTAAATTTAGCTGATGTCCCGTTGAATACCATATGCAACCTGGTATCACAACCCCAACTACGACAACAACCACACGACTTGGAAGCTTATACGACGAACCTAATGACGCAATTTTCAACTATTTTCCAACCTGGATTAGGTCGCTGCTCTGCCATGAAAGCAACACTTCGATTGAAAACTGGGGCTAAGCCTGTTTTTTGCCCAAAGAGACCTGTCCGTTATGCAACATTACAAACAGTAGATGAAGAATTGAACCGCCTTCAACAACAAGGAGTTATCACTCCAGTTTCCTACTCTGCATGGGCAGCACCTATTGTGGTTATTAAGAAGGCCAACGGCACGATATATGTGCTGACTTTTCAACAGGTCTCAATGCAGCTCTGGAACAACATCATTATCCCCTGCCTGTTTCCGCAGACCTATTTACCATGCTGAATGGGGGAAGATTTTTCGCTAAGCTGGATCTAGCTGATGCTTATTTGCAAGTGGAAGTAGATGAAGCTTCAAGAGAGCTATTAACTATCAATACTCATCGTGGTTTGTCCCAGTATAACCGTCTACCTTTCGGAGTCAAAACTGCACCATCTATTTTCCAACAACTAATGGATATCATCCTATCAGGTATCTCGGGAGTCGCGGCTTATTTGGATGACATTTTAATTGTAGCAACGACATTAGAACAGCTACGAGAACGCACGACATTGGTACTGCAACGCATCAGTGACAACGGGTTCCGGTTACGCCCAGAGAAATGCCAGTTTTATTTGCATTCGGTAAAATACTTGGGGTTCATTTTCGATGCCGACGGCCGCAGGCCGGATCCTGAGAATATCCGAGCTATCAAACTGATGCCCACTCCCACTAATGTCTCGGCATTACGTTCCTTCCTGGGACTTGTCAGTTATTACTCAGCGTTCATTCCATCGATGCATGATATTCGCGCTCCACTCAATAGCTTACTACAGAAGAACAGCTCTTGGAACTGGACTAAACAGTGTGACACTGCCTTTTGTAAACTGAAGTCCATTATTAGTTCGGAATTGCTGTTGACACACTACGATCCAGCCATGCCGATCATCGTAGCTGCAGACGCTTCAGCGTATGGCCTAGGCGCTGTTATCTCCCATCAGTTTCCGGATGCGTCGGAAAAAGCCGTTATGCATGCATCCCGCACACTAACCCCAGCAGAAAAAAAATACAGTCAGATAGAAAAAGAAGCGCTTGTGCTTGTGTTTGCTGTGCGCCGTTTCCACAAGTTCCAGTACGGTCGGAGATTCATGCTTTTCACAGATCACAAGCCTTTACTCGCAATGTTCGGGTCGAAATCTGGCATTCCAGCTCATTCAGCAAATCGTCTTCAGAGATGGGCTTTAGCACTCTTGGGGTATGATTTCGAGATCCAGTACCGACGCACTCAACAATTCGGTCAGGCGGATGCCTTATCACGACTCATTGGTGACCAGTTGGCGTCTGAGGAAAACACGGTAATCGCACCTCTGCTAGCGGAAGACCACACCGAATGTTATCTGACAACCGCAATACGAACCTTACCGGTATCTGCAAAAGACATACAAAATGCTTCTAAGAGCGACCCCATCATCAACAGAACTATGAGCTATGTCACCAACGGTTGGCCGTCTAAGAAGTTTGATGGTGATATAAAACAGCTGTATCAGCGGCGGGATTCTCTATGCATTGTAAACGACTGCTTGATGTTCGGAGATAGAGTGGTTGTGCCAGAATCCCTTCGTGCAAAAGTGCTGAAATAGTTCCACCTTGGTCATCCGGGGATTAGACGAATGAAATCCATAGCCAGGAGTTATGCATATTGGCCGCTAATGGATCAACATATAACAGAATTGGTTGGGAAATGTATGCGGTGTCAGCAAGCGGCAAAAATGAACGCCAAAGTTCCACCAGTTTCATGGCCACAACCTGATCATCCTTGGTCCAGAATACACGTCGACTTTGCAGGCCCCGATTAACGGAACCATGTATCTAGTTGTAGTCGATGCCCTTTCGAAATGTCCTGAAATCAACCCTATCATACCGCCAACGACAACTAAAACAATAAAGATCCTCACGGAAATTTTCTCCCGAAATGGTATACCAGATGCCATTGTATCTGACAACGGTTCACAGTTCACCTCAAGCCAATTCCAGTCATTCTGTCAACGACTAGCCATAA